AGACTGACGGGTGCCAGACACGGCTCTCCTTTATAGTCCCCTTTGCTCCTCCCATTGAGCAAAATAAACTAGAAACCGTTGCAATGGCTGAAGCCATTGCGATTGACTGCGAAACAGATCTAATGTGGAATTTAGCTGAAAAATCCTTGCTGAAAAAAACTGTTAAAATACTTTAAACATCTTTGAAACTCCTGAAGTATTTGAAGCTCCTGATATCCTTTAAACTGTTATCCTTTATACTGGTTTACATGTAAAAACCCCTATTAAGTTGCATTATACTGGTTTACATGGAAAAATCCCCATTAAGTTGCATTATACTGGTTTACATGTAAAAAACCCTATTAAGTTGCATTATACTGGTTTACATGTAAAAATCCCTATTAAGTTGCATTATACTGGTTTACATGTAAAAACCCCTATTAAGTTCCATTATACTGGTTTACATGTAAAAAACCCCTATTAAGTTGCATTATACTGGTTTACATGTAAAAACCCCTATTAAGTTGCATTATACTGGTTTACATGGAAAAATCCCCATTAAGTTGCATTATACTGGTTTACATGAAAAAAACCCTATTAAGTGGCATTATACTGGTTTACATGAAAAAAACCCTATTAAGTTGCATTATACTGGTTTACATGGAAAAATCCCTATTAAGTTGCATTATACTGGTTTACATGGAAAAAACCCTATTAAGTTGCATTATACTGGTTTACATGTAAAAACCCCTATTAAGTTGCATTATACTGGTTTACATGGAAAAATCCCCATTAAGTTGCATTATACTGGTTTACATGTAAAAACCCCTATTAAGTTGCATTATACTGGTTTACATGGAAAAATCCCTATTAAGTTGCATTATACTGGTTTACATGGAAAAAACCCTATTAAGTTGCATTATACTGGTTTACATGTAAAAACCCCTATTAAGTTGCATTATACTGGTTTACATGGAAAAATCCCCATTAAGTTGCATTATACTGGTTTACATGAAAAAAAACCCTATTAAGTTGCATTATACTGGTTTACATGAAAAAACCCTATTAAGTTGCATTATACTGGTTTACATGGAAAAATCCCTATTAGGTTGCATTATACTGGTTTACATGAAAAAACCCTATTAAGTTGCATTATACTGGTTTACATGGAAAAATCCCTATTAAGTTGCATTATACTGGTTTACATGAAAAAACCCTATTAAGTTGCATTATACTGGTTTACATGGAAAAATCCCTATTAAGTTGCATTATACTGGTTTACATGGAAAAATCCCTATTAAGTTGCATTGTACTGGTTTACATGGAAAAAACCTATTAGGTTGCATGATTACACTGAAGTCCTTGAAACTGCTGAAGTCCTTGAAACTGCTGAAGTCCTTGAAACTGCTGAAGTCCTTGAAACTGTTGAAGTCCTTGAAACTCTTGAAATCTTGAAACTGCTGAAATCCTTGAAACTGTTGAATCCTTGAAACTGTTGAATCATTGAAACTGTAGAAATGTCTGAAAGAGCTGAAGTCCTATTAAAATGCATGGGCCTATTAAAATGCATTGCAGAATTCTCAATGCAGATTTTTGTCCGATTGCGGAAAAACCGGAAATCGCTGAAGTCCCAAAAGTAATAGCAATAATCTCCCAAACATGTGGAACGTTTTGATGTATAACTTGTGGAAATTGTTGAAAATGTGAAAGCTGTGAAACGTGTCAAAAAAAATGACGGAATAAAGAAATACAAAACCAATGGTTGACTGCGGAAGGTTCCGCAGTCAATCAATTATTACAAATAGGACGTATAAACAGGGAATACATATATGGACCCATTCCCTATTGGTCCAACACAAAAACCTATACTCTACAATGAAACATTAGGCCATTATAAGTATATTTAATCTTGGGGACAATTCCCCACGCTCCCAGGGCGCATTTAACCCGCCAGGAAGTATGGTCCTGGTTTGATCCTCGCGCACAGATGCAGAGGAGCACGACAGACCGGTACGTGTATGAATGTATGCTTAAATGTATTTCTAGCCCGCACAGTGTGCACCCCTGGGCAAACTAGTAACTGAGGGAAGAGAGGGACAAGAGTATGGATGATGCGTGTGGCTGTTAAGCATTAATGGAACGGAGGGAAAAAGGGGTGCGCGCGTTTGGAATGGCGTGTGTGTGTGCGTGCAGGTGCGCGTGTGGCGCATGCGGCACTAAAGTCAGCCTTTACTTTAAAACTACGTAACTACAGACGGACCCGCTCCGTCACATCATCCCTCCCCTCCGGAAGGTCGACACTGTGGGGCAACCTGGACAAGTAGTCCGCAACAATGTTCAGCTTACCGGCACGGTGTCGAATGGAGAACCGGAAGGGCTGTAGACCAAGGTACCACCTGGTCAAACGGCTGTTGTGATCCTTCATGGTTTGGATGTATGTTAAGGCACGGTGGTCGGTTTCTAGATCGAACTCTCGCCCCAGCAAATAGTAGCGTAAACTCTCCAACGCCCATTTGATGGCCAGACCCTCTTTTTCGATTGCAGAGTAGCGTGTCTCTCGTGGCTGGAGTTTCCGACTCAAGTAGAGTATTGGCCTCTCTTCTCCCGGCTCCCCTTGAGCCAGAACTGCTCCAAGGCCCACAGCGGAGGCATCCACTTGGACGAGAAAGCGCATGTTAAAGTCTGGACTTTTCAGCACAGGAGACGAACACAGGTGAGCTTTAAGGGTGGCAAAAGCCTTCTCACAGTCCTCGGTCCAGACTACTGGATTTCGCTGGTTCTTGGCCGTGAGTGCGGTGAGGGGAGCAGCGATGGTTGCGAATTGTGGCACAAACCTCCTGTACCATCCTGCCAACCCAAGGAAGGACCGGACTTCCTTCTTGGTGCGTGGCCTAGGAGACTGCAGGACCGCTTTGACCTTGTCCACTTGGGGCCGTACTTCTCCTCGACCCATCTGGTAGCCAAGATACCGAGTCTCCTGCCGAGCCCACTCACATTTAGCTGGATTTAGTGTCAGCCCAGCTTGCTCAATCTTCTTCAGGACGAGGGAAAGGTGCTGAACATGGTCACTCCAGGTCTCACTGAAGATAACCACATCATCGAGGTAGGCCGCGCTGCAATGCCCACACCCTTGAAGAACCCGGTCCATCAGACGTTGGAACGTGGCTGGGGCTCCATGCAGTCCAAACGGCATCACCGTAAACTGAAACAGTCCAGCAGGGGTTTGGAATGTGGTGCAGGGCCGTGATGACTTCTCGAGGGGCACCTGCCAATATCCTTTGCATAGATCCAAAGTGGTGATGTACTTAGCTGCCCCAATCTTCTCCAGCAAGTCATCAATTCTTGGCATTGGATATGCGTCAAATTCTGAAACAGAGTTCAGTTTCCGAAAATCAATACATATCCGGAGCGATCCATCCTTTTTAAAAACAATGACCACAGGGCTACTCCACTCTGAGTTGGAGGGTTCGATCACTCCAAGTTTCAGCATCTCCTGGATCTCATCCTGGAGCTTTCCGATGAGCTGCTGAGGCACACGGTAGGGCCGCTGTCGGATGGGTCTCCCGTCTTTCAGCCGAACGAGGTGCTCCACAATGGTGGTCTTGCCGGGAGTGGCACTGAAGAGGGACGAGACTTCCTTGAAGGTCTGGAACAGCTGGGCAGCTTGCTCAGGAGAGAGATGAGCCAGGATCGGGGTTGCAGCTTTTGTTAATCCCTCTAGTCCGACATCCGGAACATCATCTTCCTCGTCCGCTTCCTCCAGCTGTCTGACAAACAGAACCTTTGCCGTTGCTTTCTCAGGCCGTTCCCTCCACTCCTTTAGGAGGTTAACGTGGTAGGTCTGTTTGGGCCTTTTCTTTTCGGGGTGTAGGACTTCGTATGTGACTGGACCCATCTTGCGCAGCACAGCATACGGCCCCTGCCATTTTGTGAGCAGCTTATTGGTGGATGAGGGTAAAAGGAGTAATACCTTTTGACCTGGCTGGAACTCCCGACGGCGCGCTTGGCGGTCATACCAGGCTTTCTGGGACTTTTGAGCGTCTCGCAGGTTTTCCTCCGCTTCCTCCAAATACTTTGACAGTCTCTCTCGCATCTCTAAGACGAACTGCACGATGCTGCGGTCATTTTGTTTGGCTGAGGGACCCTCCCATTGTTTGCGGAGAAGGTCCAATGGCCCCTGAACATCCCAGCCATACAGCAGTTCGAATGGGGAAAATCCAGTTGACGCTTGTGGGACTTCCCGATAAGCAAACAAAACAAACGGAAGCCACCGATCCCAGTCTCTACCGGTGTCATCCACAAACTTTTGTAGCATGCGTTTGAGTGTCTGATTAAACCTCTCCACTAGTCCATCTGTTTGTGGGTGGTATGGGGTGGTACGAATAGGTTTGATACCCAATTGCTGCTGGAAAAGGTGCATCAACCGGGACGTGAAGTTGGTGCCTTGATCCGTAAGAATCTCATCCGGTAATCCAACTCTTGAGAATAGCTGGACGAGAGCTCGAAGAACAGCCGGGGCAGTGATGGTTCTGAGCGGGAAGGCCTCAGGAAACCTGGTCGCATAGTCCGATATGACTAGGATGTACTGGTGGCCGCTGCTGCTCTTCACCAGTGGCCCCACAATGTCCATTGCGATCCTCCGGAAAGGAGTAGACACTACCGGTAGAGGCTGTAAACAAGCACGGTCAGATTTGCGCACAGAACATGTTTTCTGACAACTAGGACAGGTCGCGCAGTACGTTTGGATGTCTGCATACATTGAAGGCCAGAAAAAAAACGTGAGCTAATGCGCAAAAATGTTTTGTGGCGCCCCAAATGACCCGCCCATGGAACAGTGTGTGCTACGCGCATGACAAGAGTTCTGCAGCTAAGGGGAACAACCAGACGTTTACATTCATTACCCTCACTGTATAGCAACCCATTGTCAATGACAAACCTCTCCCGTCCCAGACAACTCTTTGTATCCTTGCCCACCTTAGCAAACAAACATTTCAATGTTTCATCTTTACGCTGTAACTCACCAACATTGTCAGGCACATTCCAACACAAAGGTAAAACATCTTCAGGACTAGCAGACCACATTTGTTTCTCAAACCGCCTCTGACGGCGGGACTTCTTGGGCCCCTTGGTGCCCCCCTCACACAGACTACTGTCCAAGTCCGGCAGAGGCTGGACACCCGTTTTTGCCTGAGCTCGGGTTAAAACAGGACATGCCATAGACATAGAACAGTTACTATTCCCCCCAGAGTCACTTTCCTCAGACACTTTTTCGTTCAACAGGTCCATGAGAACTGGTAAATCCCAACCGAGAATAGCATCCACTGGTAAGTTTTCAACCACACCCACACTCACAAGATAGGGCTGGTCTAAGGCAGTCACAGTCACATCCACAGTAGGATAGGGATGGCTATCCCCATGCACGCACTGAATATCCACAGTCTGGCTGTAATCCGTGCCGCTAACTGGAACTGAGCTACGTTTGAATCAACGACATAAAGCTGCCAGTATCAAGCAATGCTGTAATCGCTTTGCCATTGATCAGTACAGTTTTATAACGTTGCACAGTACCTTCAGCTTCCATAGAGCTCACGGACTCTGGTCTTGGTGGATAACATGCCCCACTAAATTTTGCTTTGCGCACAGGGCACACGGATGCTTTGTGTCCTGGCTGCTGACAGTAAAAACAAACAAGATCCTTACCAGGTCCTCGTTGGTTTGGGGTAGAGCTGGTGGTACCTTGCCGATCTGGGTAGCTGTCCTGCCGGGGTGGTCTGGAGAGAAGCGGCTGAGCTGGCCCACGCTGAGCTGTAGTGCCGGTCCGGGCAGGTCCTCCTTTGCGCGCGTTGAGGTACTGCACGGCCAACTTTGCAGCGGTGAGTCCATCGCCGGGCTCGCGCTCCTTCACCCAGGTCCGCACCTCGAAGGGGAAAACTCGCAGCAGCTGCTCCATGATGATTG